TAATGGTCAGGAATATTTTATCTAATCCTCCAAAATGAAGGGTTGAGATTTTGAGCATTAGGTACAATAGACATCTCAAATTCACATTTATTCAATAGCCAATTAAGTACATTCAAAGTCAACCACGAACCTATAATATTGATGGCATATTGTTGATATAAAAAAGAATAGGGGTAATGATCAAAATATATTCTAAAATATTGTGCGAAAAGTGTCTTAGACTCTGAACTTTTAAAATATTTAAATTAAATTCTAAACTTTTAAATTCATGAAAAATTAAACCCTACCATTAACTTTTTTAATGTTGTCACTGTTCATTTATTAATTTACACTACAGACCCTAAACTATGACCAGAGTGATATCCTAGACCCTGAACTTTTAAATTTTGAGCAAATTACCCACACCATTTATGCAAAGAATATTAACTATTATGTAGATTATATTAGCTTAAATATGATCTGCTATGGTAAAAGCTTCGTTGGCCATGATGAACAACCCATAACTTTATGAAATAACATTTTTTGCCCCCCCTTTTTTTGTAAAGCTTTCCAAACAATTGGTATTCCATGCTTTCCTATCCCCTATAACTCTAATATAGTCTTATTTTGAATAATGTTTATTTATTTAATGGTTAAAACTTGAGATCCCATTGAAAAAAGTTTAAATATTAAAGAATTTTAATTAACCGATTAATTTGAGTTTTAAATTCATTGATGAAATCGTCAACTTTCGCATCCATCATTTGTAAAATTCTCTAATACTTAAATTTCTTTTCAAATGAGATCCTGAGCTTTCACCATTAAATAAACAAACATTATTCAAAATAAGATTAAATCAGAGTGACAGAGTATATGGAAGCATGAGATATCAGTCATTTAAAAAATATTGCAAAAAAAAGGGCAAAAAAATTATTTCATAAAATTATGAGTCCTTTGTCATGGCCAACGATGTATTCACCATAATGGGTCACAGTGAGGTTAATTTGGTTTACATAATAATTAATGTTTTATACATAAACAGTAAGGATAATTTGCTCAAAATTTTAAAGTTCAGGGTTTAGGATGCTACTCACATAATAGTTTATGGTCTGTGGTGTTAATTAATAAATGAATAGTAACAATGTTAAAAAAGGTTAAAGGTGTGGTTTAATTTGCTATGAATTTAAAAGTTTAAGGTATTTTGTATATTTTAAGAGTTCAGGGTTTAAGACGCTTTTTGCGCAATACTTTAGAGTTCATTTTGCTCATTAACCCAAAATAATAGAGTATTGATAACCAATTAATTCACGGGTTTAAAAAATATTAGTTGAAACTTTAATTTCTTAAAAAAATTACATCTTTCTAATTTTACCCTCATTAAATACTCTTTATAGGTGCTTTGATAATGATAATTAAAATTTCAATGCACCATTATATTTGTTCAAAAAAGTAATAAATGAAGTAGGGATGTAGTTGGAAAAATAATTATAAAAGCTACCTAATGTCCTATATTTTGTACTAAGTAGAGCTTCTAGAAAACATCCTATATTGTATTTTGGAAAGGGGGTAGAGGGTGCACTAATATTGGTCTAATCAAGGGGAAGAAACTCAACCTTTTTTGGGTCTTTTATCATATACAATGAGCAAAAATTTCTGTGTGTTGCGTTCTGAAGACGATGATCACCATAAGTCAGGTATGTCTCATGACTCAGATTTATGTATAGAAGTATTATAGACTAGACATTGTTTTAAGTTTAATTTTGAAAATGTGGATGTCACGAATTGAAAAAACTACATGCTAAGAAATGTATTAGTTTGTAATTTAGTACAGTTTGAATTCATATCATTGATTTCGCATGATATCTGATATTAATTAAATCATTTCGAAAAAAACTCTTTACTTAATCAATACCAAAATAGCAATAAGTTTTATCTTAATAAATGGAATTGACTACATGAATTATATTACGTTATTGTATTCTATCATCAATTAAACCTTTGAGAATATTGTTTATCAAGAAGTTTCTTTGAACAATTTTAATAAGCATTCTCTTTATTAATCTTCCTTTATCCCTCTTTATAGGGTTAGCCTAAATTTAATATTTATTTTTGCTCTCTCACTCTCTTTCTTAGGAGAATTTTAGCAGAAGACTTGGGATGTGACATAATAACAAATAAAGTCCATCAAAATATAAAATGTTAATTTAGTCTAGAAGGTTTAAAATAAAATTAATTTAAATGGTGAGAGGACCAAAACAACCTCTATTTAAACATTAAAAATAAAAATTAGATTTACAAGTAATGTTAAAAAATTAACAATCAAAACTAGGAAATTAACAATTAAAGTTGCTTCATAAGTTACTTCTTCAATCAATTTATCTGAATTTATGAATCAATATTAGTTGTTAACTTTTTAACTCTATCTTGTTTATTATCCAACATCACTTATACATTACTTTACTTGATTCGATAGTCCTTAATTTGTTCAATCAATTTATCTTGACTTATGAAGCAATATCATTTGTTAATATTACAACTTTACTTATTAATTTACTAACATTATTTGTAAATTATTTTACTTGACTTATTAATGATTGAAAAAATGAGAAAATTTATTCAATCAACTTATCCAAATTTATAAAAAAACTTCAGCTATTAATTTCTCAATTTTCATTGTCAATTTCCCAACATTACCTGTTAATCTGACCTCTATTTTTTTTAATATTTAAGCAGAAGCTATTTTAATATTTTCATCATTTAAATTAATTTTATTTTAATCCTTGAATTGAAATTTCAGATTTTAATAGATCTTATTCATTTTTATGTCACATCTACGGTCTTTTGCTAAAATTCTACCTTCTTTCTTTTGAGTTCTGTTCAGCAACACGTGGACGATAATTGTGCATGTATATAGATAGGGTTCTTTCACCAAATACCACTTAAGACAGTATCTGGGGTGCTTTTACATTGGAAAAAGAAAAAAGAAAATAAAAGAGAAAGTGAAAGAAAGAATTTAAAGGATATATATGGAGAATTGAGGATTGCTCGGTACGTAAACCATTGGTTTATGGAACTGATGACATATGGACGATCCCCAAAGAATTCACTCCGAACAGCGTGAAGTCTTTCAACTAAACCTGCTTTTAATCTTTGGGATAAATGAAGAATCGAGATCTTGCTTTGCTTTTTATGATTAAGAATATTGAAAACATCATGCACGTACAGATTCGTTCAAATCGATAAAAGATGCCCATAGAATTCAATGCATTAATGGTTTGCAGATGAAAGTCATGGCTGCTTTCGATCGTTACCCAAGAAGTCAAGACAGATTTGTGTTTGTGTTTTCCCATAAAGCGAAGCAAATAGCAAGGTGGTCAAGACTTAATCCATCAATATGCGTATTTGTATAAAGAGAGACTTTAGCACTTTAATCCACTTCACTTTGTTTCTTCAGATTCTTACACACTAAGGTTTCATGTCAATACTATATATGATTTTCATATATCCAAGATTTAAACATGTGCACATCAAATAGTTGGTATGTATAGAGTTTGAGTCTCGGATATATATTTCAACTAGCATATATTTTACGTGGCAAAAAAAAAAAAAACTGGCATACTTTAAGTCTTGCATTTAATAAATTTTGCTCAAAAAATTAACACTGCGATTACAATTAGACTAACCCCTTCGTTTAGGTACGGACAAGACTTCACAAAGGTAATTATGTAATTGGCCCAATGGATTAGGATAATTAATGGAAGGAAATTAAGATTTCTTTTTGCCGTAAATAAGACAGGAGATTGATAATTTCCGTATCAAAAGATTATAATATGATGCATCCATATGATTATTGATTGGTTTTTCCCCCATCAACCCACCTATTGAATGAAATTATGGGAGAATTAAGTGCAAGATTTATTTAAGATAATTAATTACTTTCAAGTCCACTGGCAATTGAATTCAAAAGAATGTCATTGTCATTTTTATAGGCTTAGTTCAAGGATGAACAAAATCAAAATCGATCAAACCAAACTAATCTAATCAAAATTGAATAAAACCAAGCATTAGTAAAATTTATTTCGCTTTATAAATTAAACAACTAAATGATTGAGTTCAAGTTTTGGTTTTTTATCCTTTAAAACCTTAACCAAATCTAAACCATAATTAATTAGTGTTTCTACAATTAATATTAGACTGTTAATCAGTGTTTATTATTTTTAAATTTAAACCTCAATTAAAATCCAGCACAAGCCCAAAATATTTCAATAGAATTCCTAAACCTACTTTTCTCAATTTTACTATTTAGTTTTAGAATAAAAGATGGTCTAGACTAGTAGAGATGTGTTGCCATTGTTAATTAAGAAGAATCAAATATTTCACTACTTGCTACTGAAACACGTTTCCTTTTTATCAATTTAAAATAAGTTTCTTTTCATTATAAATATTAAGATAATTTTGTAATGAAATTTAACTCGTGTTAATACAATGCATATACTCTATTGTTTATTAATAAAAAATTTCTAATATTTTTATCTTCAATATGAAATTTATTTTCATTCATAAATAATAAAGTTGAAAATGTGACTTGATGTTGGAATATGAAAGAAAAAAAATGAGTCAAAAATATATTAGAATTTATGTATAAACCGAACTGCTTAAAAACTGAACCAAATAGATCTTAATAAAAAATCAATCAAGTGTCATTTTTTATGCAAATCAATTAATTTGGTTTGGTTTATATTTTGATTAAAATTGAATCAAACCATACCTTTAATCACCTTTAGATTAGTTGTTAATAACTGGGATCTTAAAGTTCTTTCCCTAAAGTTATTCTATATCAAAAAAGTATTGCATAAAGGTCGAGTCCAGCGCTCTTATCCTCCTGGGCCCACCTTCATATCGGGCTTACCAAATGAAGAGCCCAGCCCAGAAGAGAGAAAAAGAACGACACCGTTGCGTTGCGGTTCTCCAAGTCCATTCCATGACCCCATCTTACTCTGACACAAAGCCGATTAGCTGCGGCTCCTCCGCATTTGAGGCGCCAAAACAAAACGACCACTTTCCCTTATCTCCCGAGTCTTCATTCTCACCTGTTCCCCTTTATTGCCTGTCTACCTTATACATCGCACATTGGTCAGTCTCATGCTCTGTAACAGTTCAACTTGGAGGCTGAATCTGATAGGATCAAATTCCGGATAATTAGGTAAATTAATCCGAAGTTTAATTTACTTCATCTGGTGTTGATTAAAACCCTTGTTGCTTCCTCTGGATGCCTTACCTGATTCTTCTTTCTTTCTACTTTTTATTTTTTCGTCTTTAGGACTTTTAATGGTGAGAATGGGATTTCTTGATTGTTTTGAACTTTCTCTTCTTCTTATTTGACTTTGATGAAGGATTTCAAATTTCGTTCATGTTGTATTATGAGGCATTCATTTGCCTGTAATGTACTTTTCTCGTTCTCTGTTGTCGTCACTTGTTAATATACCTCACTTTTGAAGGTTTTGTCTGAACATAACAATAGTCTAAAACTGATGCTACAAAATTGTTTCATTAAATGGTTCGAATTCTGGAGAAACATTGTTTCTTGGAACATTTTATCTGCGTCTTCCCCTGGGGGCGGGGGTTTTGGCAGCGATTGGACAACACCATGGTTGTGCAAGTCAATGAATGTGGTTTTGTTGAATTTTATGTGACCCATTTGTTGGCTCAGTGACCTGATTTCTTCTTTGCCGTTGTTAAGAAAAATTAAAAAAAATTATTCCTTGATCTTGTTTATCGTCTTACAAGGTTGTATGAATTTGCTAAGCTCTCCAACTAGGTAAAAGTGGTTAGGTAGGAGACTCTTTGGTTGCATGCTTAGTAAGGATGTGATTTTCCGGAATGCAATCATTGCAGCTCATGTCTAGACTTCGAAATTGATGAAGGCGTTTGGCTGTTCAAGAAAATGCTTCATGAAGATTTATATGATCAATTAAAATTGTTTGGAGAAATTGCATTTGAACCTGCCTGTCTTAATTTTTGCCTCCAATTGCCAATTTATATTCACTCATATGAAAGGACTAAAGGAATTTTAATAATTTTTTGAATTTGTAATTTCCAAATTTAGATGATAGGGGCATGTTGTAATGGGACAAATTTTACCACCTATCATCTGATTGCAATATTTTTAGACGAGGGGGAACATTGCAATTTGAGTTAAAAGTAAAGTGCAATTTCCCCAAATTATTAATGGTCATGGATATGCTGGCAGCTGGCAAGCTTGATGAGGGGCATGGATTTTCTTATTGGACGCTTTACAATGTCATATCAACACAAATGGCATGGCTGTTGGGATCAGTAAATATGTGATGCCAGTCAAATTGATACACATGACGCTATTTGTTGAAATAACATGATTGCAGGCTATGACCGGTGTGGAAGAAGGGATTAAGCCTTCAATCGTTATTGGCAGACCCCATTAATTGCCTAAAAAAAAAAAATCCCATTAAGATACAGTTCCATGAAATATTATGATCAGGCAGGACTGATAGATAGAGTAATAAAGATCCTTCAGGACACTGGGTATAGTTTCCAGGAAATCTCTCAACTTTTGCTTGAGGTTTAAGTGCATGTTCCAATCTTGCTACTTTGCAAGTGGCAGGAAGCTTTGTTGGTACATTCTAAATGTTTTGATTTCCACATATGCCAAATGTGGAAGGGTGTTCTGGGCAAATGTTCAAAGCTATTGATTGTGTTGATCTTGTTTATCAGATCTCCTTCATTTCAGATTTTGTTGTCAGGCAATGTGCAGAGGAGGTTTTAAGGTCTTTGAGCATTCAGGTAATCAGGGCTTGAATTTGACAATTTATTTTAAATTCATGATTAAAAATTGTGACCGAACCTTTGGTGCTGCAATTGCCTAGTTGAGGTGGTTTAGATCAGCCTTTGACATGGTGAGGGTGTGAACACCAAGGCAAATGATGGAGTATGATATTTACTGCTTGGGACTCATTGTGTACATGGAAACCTGGATTTTGGCAGATTTACTGCTCACAGCCTTCAAAAATTGAAATATTTTATGCCACTAAGGAGAACAAGTAGAACATATCTGGTAGGAGCGAAGAGATTGGGAGAGAGGGTGTTAATGAGAAAGGAAATAGTTGGAAAGCTGTCTATATGAGTGAAAAGTCAGAAATCGACACAACATTTTTCTCTAAGATGATCCAGCGAACCTGAGGTGTAACAAGTTTCAGACTATACTGAAGACATAAGGAGGACAAGTAGAACATATCTGACATTAAGTCTTCAATTTTCAAGATTTTATGATCGGAGATTCTCAGAATTTGTTACAGATCCTTGCATGTCCATTGTAAATGAATCATTTAGCTTATGGGTCTGCTCAGTTCTTAGCTGTGTTCACGAAGTTTACTTCGCTCAAGTCTTTTGAAATTCTGCTTGCTTTAACATCTACTGATTGTTCTTTCATTAGTTCTATACTTTTATTGGACAGGTAACATCATATGTGTTTCAATAATTTATTCGAAATGTAATACTCCGGATTATATACAGTGGAGGATCGTACATCAATAAAAGACCATAATGTAAAAGCTAGAAAGAAGACTAAGAATGACTTTCCATTGATAAAAAATAAATTTGTGGACAAGATGAACCATAAATCCCCTATAATGTGCATTTATTCTAGTTGATGGTTATTTTTTCTGTATATCAGTTGTCTGTGACATCGTTGCTGTTACTAATATTTTGAGGTTGTTTTGAGATGTAACATTTTACTTGTCAACTTTTTTAGGTTGGCTAACTTTGTCAACCGTACTATTCATAACACAAGAAAGTCAAATGGCACTTTCAATGAGCTCCATTGCAGTAGGCCTCAGATTTGGCTCAATTCCTATAACCGAAGATGCTGTCTCCAGAAAGCTTATGCCCAGATCTTCCAGAGGGCTTCGCATTAGGGCAGTTCAAGAGAACGGTGGATCACGGAGACTTGTGGACATCATTAGAATTGTTCCTGAACTCTCAAGAAATTACTTCAGAAGTCCTTCTCGGAGGGCACTATTTGGTGGAATCTCCTTGTTGGGTGGATTTTATGTTGCACAAACAATTTCCCTATCTTTTGGTGCTCTTGGAGTAAATGATGTGATTGCTGCTGTAGTATGTGTTCTTCTGACAGAATATGTGACCAAGTTCTATTACAGCCGGCCAAAGGTTACCTTCCCAATTGCCCTTCTCAACAACTTTAAAATGGGTTTCACTTATGGACTCTTCATCGATGCCTTTAAACTAGCCAGTTGACCACAGATTAATGGAACTCTTCAAGTCTGATCCTTTGCCCACCAAACCTTGTGCAATTGACAATTCTATCGCAAGGTCTTAAGTCTGGCATCGGAAGTCAGAGTATTCTATTGTAAAGGCTTGCATGAACCTTGGGCTCTAAAGGCGCTGGATGATATATGTAATTACCTTGGCTCCTCTTGCAATCTACCGATCCATTCCACCAATCCCTTGAAACCTGTCTATCTTCTCCAGTAGTAGCAATTAATTAGAGATTGTAGACTATTTATCACTGTCAAACAATAAGAACGCATGAATCTTGAGAAAAGCATACATGAACGCCATCTAGTTATTGGGCTTATGGGTAGTAGGCCTTAACTCTGGATAGAGATATGTATATAATATTTAGTGCATGTGATTGCAAAAGTGGCAGCAGCAGCAACTTCGTAGCTGTGGACTTTTCAAGAGTTGATATCATCTTTATCAATGTTTAGGTGATAGCATTAAACTTGAAGGGAAGTTTCACTGCAGCTATGAAGTACTCTTTTTATTTAAAAATATAATATATTTTTAATCGAATCTTATCTCTCAATAAAATAATTACCTACTTTCAAACTAACTCTATCTTTTTATATTTATTTTTATTAAATACCGTATAATAAATATAAAGTCATTATTAATAAAGACATTTTAAAAAAAAGCAATAATTATATCTTGAAAGATTAAAAATATTTTACATTTTTTAACATTCAATCTCTTAAAAAATACTTAACATTTTTTAACGGATGGAGTACTTGGTATTTGACTCTCCCCTCTTTTCCCTTTTTGGCCATTGATTTCTGATTTATTTTTTATTAAGAGTTATTTTTATTTTTGAACTGTACACAAAAGATTATAAATAATTTTAAAATTAAGTATGGATCAATTTTATTCTTTAACTTTAAGAATTTCCCACTTCATCACCCTACTGTTCTCTCATCTTTAGTGGACTCCGGGCTCCACATTATTTTTTTAAATATTTTTTATTATAAAATATTTAAATTAAGGGGCAAAAATGACCATTTAAATAGAAGTTGACATGCAAAAATGACATTTAACTTAATAAAAAATATTTAAAAATAGTGAAATCTATTGATGACTAATATACGTTAAGTGTTTTTGACACTAGGATGATAATAGAGAAAATTTTTAAAATTGAGAAGTAAAATTAATTCATAATTAAATTTATGATTATTTGTGATTTTTCTATTATAGCTCAAGAACAAATGACTCGTAACCCCCCTCCTTTTTAATTATGCCTTTTCTCCCACTAATTTAATCTTGACTGATTCTCTCCCACCATTTTCTTTTTTTGGAATGATTTTCTCCAACTAATAAATTTGACTTTTACGGTTGATGGTGGGAAGGGATTAAGAGGATAGACGCAGTAATTAATTATTTTAAAAATGTTTTTCTTCTTCCAGGAACATCACGGCACACATGACATGACAAGCCCCGTCAGCATCATTAATTTTAAACATAAAATTTATTGAACATCACTCAATTATGGATTACAATGTAATTTTTCTCAAACTTCAGTACAACCTTTTTCCATCTATATATATATAATGTTGTACAACTCTTTTTCGTTTTCTTATAATTTTTACCTCTACATTTTAGCAGTATTTTATCTATCACATGCATCGCTGGAAGAAAGATGTACATACTATATAAAAGTTAAATCACGTTGAATTGTTGTATATTGTATTTATTTTTCGCAAAATGTTTAATCCGTGGAGTTGGGCTAGTTGATTCAAATTTCATGAGTATAGCGCACTTTATCCTTTAAAAATATGCAGCTGTTGAAATAAATCACTATTAACATCAACATTACTATAAAATATTAAAAAATACATTGCAATTCACCTTATTTACAAATTGTGAATAGTGAGGTATACTCTTGTTGTTTTGCATGCTACAGTGACAATAAAAATATAGAGTACTGATTTGGGAACATCATTTTTGAAAAGGTTGGAATATTACAGAGATCAACAAGATAGGCCTTTTAACTGTGACATTGATTCTCATACCAGTGTGGTGTAAAGCTGAAAATGAGTCAATAAGACACTTGCTTTTCACCTGTGAATGGTCTAAAGAGTGGTTAAGGGGTGCTATGAATGGGATTAATGCTAAAATCAGTGAGCATAAGGTGTAGTAGTTGGAAGCAAGCATTTTTGCATTCTTTCAAGAAGAACAAAGTTAGAAAATGCGTCCTACGTGCTGTTACTACTGCAATGGCTTATTACATATGGAAAGAGAAACTTCTGGATATTTCAAAATGTTCAATCTCTCAACTACATATGTTGATGAAGATTAAATCTGAAACACGTGTTAAATAAATTTTCTTATAGATTGTAATATCTTGTAGGATCTCTTTTTCTTGTCTTGTTTGTGTTTTTGCCACAGTTGAGGTTTTGGAATGAATAATTGAAAACCCTTCCTGAAAAGTTGTAATTATTTATTTTCCTGAGTGTGGATGTGCTTATGAACGTTGTTTCGGAATGGAGTTGACAAAATTTTTTTTTTAAAGTTAAAATGTATTTTTGTTCATGTAATTTTTTTTAAAAAATATCAAACACCCTATACTAATAAATTCAATATTTTGCCTCATAAATTATTTTTTAGAGGAGCAAAAATTTTCTCCCATTAACGAATTACTAGTGGAGGGAAATTTTTACTCCTCTAAAAATTAATTATGAGAAAAAAGTGCTTCATTTATGGTGTATAGTGCTCTTTGAAAAAAAAATTACAAAGGCAAAAATGTTTCAACTTAAAAGTAAATATTCATAATTAATTTAGTTATTACTTAAACTAAAATAATCAATAATATTTATTTTTTTATTTTAAATTTATGATATTTTAATTATTTCATAAAAAATATTAATATCTTTAAGATTTTTAAAAACTCAAAAAAAAATTATAATATTTTATGAGATTTTATTTTGTGAGATTTTATTATTATTTATATATTTTAAAATATTAAAATATTTTTTATATATTTTTCTTTAGAAAATACCAGGTACCCTATGCCAATAGGCAAGATATGTCAATCTTTTCAAGAGGCAAATATATCCTCCATCACAAAAGAGGATGCATATATATTGTGTTTTTCCTTGGCTTCTGTGAAAGAAAATGAAAAGTTTTTTTAGATGCTCATATGCAGGCTGCAATAATGTTGGTTTCAAGCCACTTGTTGATCTAGGAAACTCCTAAACATCAAACATAGAGCTATGGACCACTGGAAGGTGATGAGAGGAGCTGCACACGCGTCTTCTTGTTCCCGTCGCTTGGGGCCCACCTCCTGCATTTGGTACGATGTTCAGTTTAGTCCAGCGCACTATATGCCTCCAACTTTCTCTTTAATTTCTTTGTTGTTTAACAAAAGGTGGATAAAATTGAATCATTGGCATAGCTAAGGAATATATGTAGCCATTTAGCCCATAAAAAGTTTATATATGGAGAAAGAGATTAATGACGAATTTCACATTTAAATTTCAATATAAAGTATTTTATCTCTTAAATTATTATAAAAATAAATAAGAAAATTATATTTTTCATGTGTTATCTCATCTATAAAATTTATATATCATTTACTCTAAATATAAGATCTGAATAACTAATTTACAGAAATTAAGAATAATTTTAAAAATATAAATAATTATATTCCCCTGAGTGGCTAGACAAGTTGTCATGGTGAAGCCTTGTGACGCTTGTGGTCAGGAAGATGCCATCTCTTGGAGATCATCCACCGACAGAAACTTCTTCATCAAAATTGCCTACACCTAGTTATTAGGGAGGAATGAAAATAGGTACCCCTTCTTCATTTGCGATAAAATCTGGAAATTACTCAACTTTTGGGGAGGGGGGGATAACTTTTTTTAAGAAGCTGTTGGGAACTAATTGCAAGTTAACAAGTTCAGATCTTGTGGATTCGACACAGATAAAAGGACTTGTCCTTTTGGCTATATTTATGTGACCCGTTTACTCACATTCTTCGTGATTATCCTCAAGTAAGGAAAGTTTGGATTAAATTAGTAAACCAATCTAAACTTACTATTTCGTTTTCTCCTTGTTTATATAGGAATGGATCATATGGAATTCAAAGACGAAGCAAGAAACCAAAATACTAGGAAAATCCCTTGGTAGAAACTCTTTGTCATGTTTGTTAAGATATTTGGAAAGACAAGTGCAACAGGATTTTTGTTGAACCCATATTGGCAAAGATAGTGCCTTTTATGCTACTCAGAGGATTGTCAAGGATACACTCCAAGCTCTCAAAAGCATTCTCAATGCTAAATACAAGGACATGCCTGCCAATTAGAATCCTCCTCGAGAAGGTTTGCTAATACTAGATACTGACGGCTTCATGCTATAAGATGGTGAGGCCACTTGTAGTGGTCTTGTGTATGATGACAAGGGAAATGAGAAATTAGGATTAATCAAAAAGCTTGGTTATGTGGCGACAACGACTATAAGGATTATAGAGATTCTTGAAGATTTAATATTAAGTTGGAACTATGGCCACTGTAATGTTGTCGTCATTAGTGACTCCATTGAAGCCATATGTCTCATTAATAATGAGCTCTCTAAACATCACCCTCTTAATAATTAAGATAAGAGAAATGCACAACTTCCTATGCAATATTAGATTGTTACCTTCAACCATATAATTAGAGAAGCAAATCGCGTTATAGATTTACTAGCTTATAAGGGACATCAATCGGATGTTGAAGTCATTTATGTGAATATTGCCCCTTTAAAGTTTAGAGGCTTTCTTTTAAAAGACTTTGGTTGTTAGCTACATGTAACTACCTAGTTTTTTCCTTCCACTTTTACATGGCCTTTTATTCAAATAAAATAATAATAATAAATGTTTTACTATTGATTATTGACAATAATTTCTTTAGTTTTAGAAATTCCTTTCTTACACTAGGCATAAGACTTTTTATTATTATTGTAATTTAGCTTCCATCTTATTAGGAAACTATTTGAAAGAAGTATACCCAAGTTTGTCACAACAAATATTATAATGGCCATTTAGTAGTAAGGAATTGAATAAATAGAAATGGAAGTGGAAGTGGATTCCGTAAATTTATGTGTTTGGTTTGCATAAAATAGATTTTCTAGGGAAGTGAGTTCCACCAAATATGATGGAATGGGGCTCTTAGGTAATCCCATAAAATTAGCTTTCTACCTTACTTCCTCTCAATTTGTCATCTTTTACGTCAATCTCTCTTTTGCCATGTTTGGCCCAACTTAGTCAACAATGTTCACAAGCAATGACATGGAGAATGCGATGGTGCTTGATTGGCAATGGCAACTCCCAACCATAGCTAGAGAGTGCATTTTTGAGATCAATGCCATTAATGATAGGAGTGAAAGGCAACAAAGTAAGCCATGTTCAGTTTGTTTCTTTGATGGCGATGGT